CCGAAGGAGATGTACATGACCGACTTTGTTGGTTGCTTATCAAGCCAATCTATGCACTTTTCTTTTCCATTCAACTTGCTTTGCTCGTCAATCCTTACTAGTCGGTTCAATGGCCCAACTGCCCACTGATTTCTGTTCCCATTATTCTGAGCTAGAAGATCGAGATAATCACCTTCAATCACTCTGCACGAGTTGTAGAGAACGCCGGAGCGGAATTTCTCGAACTCATTTCCGAGGGCTATAAATTTCTCGAACTCATATGTAAAACAGCCTTCCCTGGAAGAAGGAAGATTGGGTGGGATTTGAATTTCTCTAGGAATTGGGATCTCTCCCATATTCCAGGAGAAGGAATTGAAGGCCGAATACGTGTGCAGAGCGTAGAGTTCGACATTTGGGAAAGAAGCAGCATCGTGAACAACATATGACATTAGACTATCATGGATTACAATAATCTTTTTCTTGGTTTGAGAATAGAGAGTTTGGAAGAATGCTGCAAAGGGTTCGCGGAGGGTTAGTGAGGCTTCAAACAAGGGATGCACATGGGTAGGGAAATCAGTATCCGTGCCAGGGATGGGGGAGGGAGAAGGAAAGGGAGGAATGTGGAGGTCATGGAATTGGATGTTGAAGAGGAGAAGTGGATCGGAGCAGCGGAGCTTGGCTTGTCGGACATGGTTGGAAGAGCAAACGTAGTAGACTGGAAGGTTGTGTGGTGATGATGATAGGAGGGATGAGAGTTGCAGGAGCTGGTTCAGATGGCTTTGTGCCGGAAAGGGCACTGCCACTACGATCGCCGGAGCAATCTGGTGGTGTGGGTTGGACATTGAACCTGTTATTGTTTTCTGAGGTATACAGTAATTGGTTGGTAGTTTTCCAAGGAATTGGAATACCGCGTTGCTTTCTTGCACTTGGTTCTTTCTTACCTTCTGCTGTCAATGACATTGTAGTTTTTAAGTACATTTCCAAGCCGCCAATATTGAAACAATGGTACATATATATATATATATATTTTTTGACTAGTATAAGTTTGGAAAATTTTTATATTTATTTTTAGAACACTATACATTTTGATTTAAAATATACTATAATATATTTATTAAAAAATTAATATTTTTTAATTTAAAATTAAAAATAAAAAATTTAAAAATATAATTATATACAATATGATATAAAAATTAATTAAATTAAA